TCTTATTATACAAATAGTATTGTAATTAATTGTAATCAGTCTCTTTCGAAGGAGGCGAGCAATTTCGTTTATCGCGGGCCTTGCGGGTCCTCAAAAGCATTTGCTACAAATTATTCACTTACTTGTGTATTATGAAAAATATTCAAGCTTTTTTGTCATATTTTACTATTTAAAAACTTATACAGTTTTTTTAATGAACGTACTGTATTGAGAGCCTTAAAAAGTTCTCCTCTCCCTACATCTAAAAGGCCCTGCTTGTTATATATTTAGAAAACAATAAATATATGTATATTAATATAAAAAATGATAAATGACAGATGATTTATCAAAGAAAAATTTTGTATTTACAGTTAGACTATTTTTTTAAAGCTATGGAAGTTGTTCTCTACGTTAACATAGGCTACGTAGTAACAAATATATATATATAAACATCTCTTCATCATAGTTAGCTTCTATCTACAATTAAAACATAAATTCTTATAATTTTTCCATGAGATATATTAAATTTAGTTAAACATAGAAAAAGTTATAGAAAATGTCAGATATAATGACGAATGGGGTAAGATGATGACGACTTATCTTTTATTTTATAGACGATATCATCTTGATATATAACATTAATGTCTACAGAAAATAAAAGAAAATGTGGTTGGAATGTACAGTACGTACTGTACAACTTCAATTTAAAAAATCATCAAAAGATTTTATTTAGTGATTCTATTTTATTCAATAAATGTTCTGCTTATATTAACAAGATATGAATTTATATAAGACTCGTTCAGGAGATAAATTTACCGAAAACATGTCATTTTTCTGAAATATTTATCCAAACCCATCAGAATTTATCATCTTATCCAAGACTCGGGGTAAAATGAATAACGTACCTTTATTTATTTATTTTCATATATATATTTTTTTCTTTTATATATTACGTTGAGATAAATTTTTTAATTGAATTTCTAATGAAATATTTAAGTGTTTGCTAAATAACTCTATTTATTAGCAACATATTTTAATATTTAATTTTAAAAATAAAATTAACATCTTACCCAATTTCCTCCCGAACAACTTCAATTAAGCATTTTTAATTTCAATAAACTTGTCTATATTAATCACGAGTGTAAATTATAACTATGAATTTTAATCGAAATATTAAAATATCTCTCTTGCATTTAATTTAAAAGCAATACTTAAAGTATTGCTTTTAATTTGATGTCTCGTCTTATTTACTTAGTAATCACTTTTAAATCAGTTAGATAAGATTCTTGATTCTACTGAATTTTCCGCAACAGTTGTACTTAATGGATATCTTCGAAATTAACGAAATGATAATTTTATATAACATTATAACTTTAATAAACTATAATATATCGAAATTAAACTTACCCTTTACCTAGCGTACTATTCATCCGGTAAGTCTTGATTTATAAACAAGTCAGCACATAAATTGAAATGAAAATTATTCTCAAACAAGGCATAGATTTGAAATTAAACTCATCCTTTTCCTATGTTTTAATCCTCCGGAAAGTCTTGATTTATAAACAAATTGGTACTTTTAAATCCTAACATAGTTATAGTCAAATTATGGCATGGATTGAAAATTCAACTCAAACTTTTCATAATGTTCGATTCTTTAAGAAAATTTTAATTCATAAAAAAATTTCTGCATTAGTTATGTTCATATAAGGACTCAGATTCAAAATTAAATTACCTTTTCTTTATTACCGTCTGTACAGTACCTCCAGAAAGACTTGATTCATAAAGTAGTTACTCTCATACTGTGATGTAGATTCAAAATTAAACTCTCCCTTTTCTCAACGTTCTATTCCTCCATAAAGTCTTGATTTCTAAAAAAAAGTTGGCACTCGTAAATCTCAATATATTTACGCTCATATTGCGACAACTATACTAGGCCTTCACTACACGCACCTATACTATAGCAATATAAGGGGACGTAATACATATCTCCCCTTGTGTTCCTATTGATAGTTTTTCCCACGCTGTTCAAAAAGCAAATAAATTATTTATTTCATTTCAATACGAAACTCATAATTAGAATTATTTGATTAATTAATTGATATGAACCTATAAGGTTCTGTAAAAAACTAATTAACAATCATTAAAAGATTTTATTTGAATATTTAAAAGTGATATTTTTCCATAAATTTATCTAATAAAAAAGTAATTTTGTTAATTTTTTAAATTAACTTAATATTTATGTATTGCATTTGAATTAGTTTC